ATCCATCTATCTATCCATCTATCCATCTATCTGAAACCGCGGACTTCACCTAGCAGCCATGAACTTAGCTCGCTCGCTACTTAGCCCTTTAGCTCACCCTCTGCCCAGACCGGGGACGTAGCCGAGCGGAGCGGGCATCCCCAGAAACGGCTTCTTCTTTTTCCCCATGAGCGGAGAGGCGAGGGGCATTATCGGGGGCGCACCGCCGGCCCCCGCCGCCCCGCCGCCTCCCGCGGACGATTTGGAGACAATTTTGGGCGCTTGTTTTCCTGCGGCGCTGGCCATAGTTGCGACGACGAGGACGCTCACTTACTGCCGGATAAACAACAGTCGCACTTCCGTTAGCAGCACACGGCGACCCGGTCCTTCTCGGCATTTCCGTTGGTGGTTGTAAACAGCGCCCCCCACAGGACAGGCGGGTTTGTGCTTATTTTCAACTTTTCTTGTTGTGTTTTTTGACTCCTGAATTGTTCATGTTAATTATGTAACGCGCTCATTTTCCGTCTCGCCGTGTGACTATGTTATAGAAATGATTTCCTTAGGATATTTCAAGTGTTTCATACTAATATCAGTTTTCCACAGAAGCCACAGGAGGGCGCCACATCCTGGAAAATAATAGGCCTATTGAAACATTGCAATCGATCATATTTAAAGTAGACCTACAGGCTTTATCGATTAGTATTCATAATGGTGTTTTTGAAGCTGGTTAATGTCGTTCTTAATTCTTCTGAAGTGTATTACCTGAACTAACTTAATGATATTGTTATACAAGATACATACAGAAAGTTCAACTTTGATGCCTTTGTATATTATTCTACTTACTCTGCTGTAATATTCTCATAATTAATTTTCTTAAGGGAAATTAATGCAAACTTCAAAGGCTTATATAATACGCCTGGTAATTAAATTCAATTTAGTCATCAACAGAATGTAGTCTTTGTGCACTTCATGAGTCAATTTCATTTTGTTCCTTGACATAAATGGACCTGCGCCCCCAGTGATTCCATATACAGCAGATATTTCTATATATAAACAATCAGGCCCTGAAGGTTGCATATTGCCCATATCCCTTAATAATCTCAGGGCTTTAACATGGATTCTAAAAGGATCAGCTTGTACTCCACATTAAGATCATTTTTATTGGACACAAACTGAAGCACACTTTTGCTTAGCTCAGTAAGGGCAGTAAATAAAATACTGAATCAGAATTTAGGGCAGAGGGGATATTTAGATTTGTTAGTTCATTGAGCCACACATTTTAAGTGAATTTAGAGTAATTCTGACAGACACGTGTTACAGCGATGGCCTATCTTGTATTATGAGTGAAAAATATCCATGTCGGAGAGTCTATATTCAAGCAATAGACAGGAGACTGCAATGAAGGTAATTACATTCTAACGTGACATTTCTGGGTTTCATCCCTTGAGATGAAGTGAAGCCATACATCAATTAGTTTCAATCAGGTTTAACTTAACCCACAGTCTGAGCCTGGGCACAGGCTCTTTACATTTTTCTTCATTTACATCGCCTGGAGGGCAGACATTATTTCACTCCCGGGAGAAGAACGTTATGATGAAAATGGACTGTCAGGCACATTAGAAGATATATAGCTCACACAGCCGAGGACCAATTTAAACACAAAGCCTTGATTTCATCTCTAACACCCAGCCCCCTTTACTTTCCTCTGATTATTTCAATGATCATTTCATTTTGATTTTATAATCACATAAACTGACATAAAATGCAGCTTGAATTCACATTATATGTTTTGTTCAATAAGGGAAAGACAGTAAAGATCGTGATCCTGCTGACCCATGGATGAGTGATCCAGGTCATTCTCATTAGTGATAAAAAAAAAATCATTAGTAATACTAGCCAGTATTAACAATGAAGAAAATCCTTCAGAGCCCGGTCCAAGCACACACAAAGTCCCTGGCTTAATTTGCACAAGAATGGGTCCCTTTATCTCTGCTGTACTAATGCATGAGTAGTAACCACAATGTAAAATAGAAACACCACATAAACTGACAACTTGGATTTTGTTAGCAAAAGTGTGTTTCGATGAGCATAAATACATTCAGCAGGAATCCTCCACCACACAGAGATGCACACACATTAAAATCTACAGTTGTGGTGGCAGTGGCAGAAGAAGATAGCTGATATCTGCTTGGGGGTCGTGAAGGCTGACTGAGTAACTGTGGTCTCGCCAGAGATCGTACTATAATCATTCCCTTTGATGTGCTGCCATAAAACATTTGGCAGTGCTTCTTGTAAATGCAGCTGTGAGCTGGAAACAGAGTGTGGCGTGAAGACACTCTAAAAACACTTTTTAATAGTTTACCTGGATTATAGGCAACTATAGGCATCATAATGTAGAACACTAAAAGAGACTGCTGTCATTATCATTACATGATTTATAGTGTGTGAAATAACAACTGTTAGATATTTTTTCTAAATAAGTTAAAGAGATCTTAATGGGAATTGGGATTGACAGTCCAATTGTAGATTTTGCTATGCTGAAAGCAAAAGTAATAATAATTTCCTTGTGTTAGAGCAATCCATTAGTGTGGTTTATCTATTTAAGAAAAGCTGAAAGACAATCATGTAATGGCTAAGCCTATTTCTTTTAGAACAAAGACTAATCACTTAATTTGGATAGAATTGCATTTTGGATGAGGGAGATTCACATAATAATATTCTTATTTTTTATGAACAATGCTTTAATTTGTGATTTGGTGATAAACTAATGCGTGACAAAATGTGTAATTGGTGAATCGAAAATGTTCTATAAACAAGGCAAATTATAGCTTACTGTGCACATGATAGTGTGTGTGTGTATTTCCGTGCAAGCATGGAGTCATCTGCAAGTTTCTGCATGTTTATCCATTCATGTGTGTGCCAGTTTGCATGCATGCATGACTCCATTTAATCTGTTTATTCAGTGCATATGACTCAAGCTAGAGGGGAGGACCACTGGACTATCTGTCACAGCAGATGTCCATAGTGTGATAATAAATGTAGATGCAGAATGTAGATGGAAATGAATGCAACAGTCTATAGGAAGATACCAAGAATTAAAAGATGAAATATTGCAGCAAATGTCCCATGTACGGTCAACTGACTGAGGCTTGCAAGAAAGAAGCACAGAAGGAGATGTGTCGAGATGACAGGTTTATTGATACTTTCACGCATCACCTACAAACACACACCTACACACACACAGAAACACAGACACATCATTCATACTGCCTGAGCTGCATTGTGAGTTAATTTTAGCTAATTATATTCAACAATGCAATGTGGGCGAGAAAAAAAAATAGGACACGGACATCATCATTTTTCACTATTACACACACGCTAAACTTAATTACCATCTCTTAAGTGAAAGCAGCCTTTGCACAATACATTGAAGAAAGTCCTGAGAGGATTTATGGTTTATTCAGTGCTGATTACTGACTGTATATTATTCTGGAACAAAGAGAAGTGTCTTTCAGAAAGGACAACAGTAAATTGCTATTAGTGGCCAACCAGAGTCGTTTTGGGAAACAGATGCTCAAATGGAATTTCATTGATCCACTGAGCTTAGTGAGACAACAAAGCTTTGAATGAGGACAGTCCAGTAATTAGTCTAGGGCAGGATCTGAGACGCTGTACAAAGGAGAAAAAGATGGTTGACTTTGTGTTGTGAATACTGATGCATTGACAAAGTGACATATATGTGCGTCATGGGTCAGTCATATTGGAAATGATTCATTAGGCTAATTGTCGTGTAAAATGGAGGAGCCATTCTCTTCTCCTTAAGCAGTAAGAGGTTCACCTTGAGTCTGAGGGAAAAGACTTGCACAGCAGAGACTTACAGACGCATACAGCAACATTCACAGCGATAAGGAATGGCTACTGTATTCGAGCGTGTACTTCACTTTTCACTGAATGTCACAGCATCTCCCTCCTGCCATGTTACATTTCCCTGCAAGCATTCAGTTTTAGTGTGACAGAAGAAAAGAGAGCAAGTGAATGAAACTCGCAGAGGTTTTCATATTATTCACATTAAAAGTCTGACAGCTAGCATGATCCAAAGTGGGGCTGATTTGTTTCCCTGATGGCTGAGCAGATAAATGGGATTATTGACTGCAGCTGTTCTCCTGACCTGTTGTTTGAGTGAGATTGGTATTTAGCTAGGTTATTTAGACACAGTGGATCAGACCATGATGCATTCCCTGTTTTCTCTGACCCTGCCTTTCCTGAGAGGAGAGGAGAGGAGAGGAGAGGAGAGGAGAGGAGAGGAGAGGAGAAAAGAGACTAACACCATATGAGTTTGGACAGGTATGGACAGCAAAACACAGACTCACAGAGAGAAGAGAGTGATTTAAAAAAAAGAAGGGAGGGACTGACAGCATCCTGTCATTACTCAAAAGTATGGAGCTTGAATAAACCTGGATTCTATCCAATCAGAACCTCCCTGGAGACCCGACACAAAGAGGTCTTTTTTTATATAAAGATGAAGTGAATGTAACAGTCTTCTTTTCTGCTGTTTGATGCCATAAATTCTGACTTTGTATTGTCTCAATTCAGCCATGGCACAATGTGTATTTTTTATATTTGTTCACATTTTAGTGCTATGCATTCAGAGAATCGTTCCCTTGTGAATATAATAACAGACATTGTGAGGAAGATAATACAATGACCTAGAACTGAAAGAGTTGATTATTTCATTGTACTGCTCTGAAATCAGCCACCATCAGTGTCTGTGGATGACAGTAGAGAGGATTAAAGGTCCAGTGTTGTAACATTTAGAAGGACTATTGCAGAAATGGAATATATATACTTTAGCTGTAAGCGTGTGTTTTAGGCATTGGTGTATCAATCACCTGAAACATACATAAAACATGGTGTATTCTTACTTAGATATAGCTGTCTTTGTGTACAGAGGGGTGGTTGCTCCTACTTTGGGTTTTTCACACAGTTTTTCACGTTTCAAGAGAACATACAATTCTCCTAACACCGCTTGGAAGCCGCAAGAAGATATTCAGTTGGTTGCAATTTGCAACTCTACCATTATAGATGCCACTAACACAAACAAACAAGTTTGCTTCTGAACTATGTGTTCAGAAGCAATACAACTAGTTATATTACATACATACATACATACATGTAGATGCTATTTCTGTTTGAAATTATAACTACTTATACTTAGTTATCTTAAAACCGCTAGTTACAGTTTTCATGTGTTGTTATTATTTTGATGTGCTCTATTTATTTGTAAAGGTATCAAAGGTACTTAATCT